CTGAGTAGTATTCCACTGTGCGAATGTATCATGGCTGTTTTATCCATTCGTTTGTTTATAACTGCTTGGGTGGCAGTTCTGTTTTCTTTAGGGTATATTCCCAGTAGTGGAATTGCTGGGTCAAATGGTATTTCTAGTTGCAATTTTTTATGAGAAATGCCAGATTGCCTTACATAGTGGTTTTACCATTTTACATTCCCACCACCAGTGAATAAGAGTTCTAATCTCTCCACAATCTCACTAGCATTTGTTGTTTGCTGCCATGCTGAATTTTAATATTATTGCTGAGACCAAAGAAACATTTTGACTCTTACATATGAAACTCTTCCTTCAAATAATTAAGATACTAATAGGGAACTCTGGTGGCCTGGTGGTAAGAATCCACACTGCGATCCTGAAGGCACGTGGTTTTGAATTCTCCAGCTGCTCCACAGGAAAAGGATTGGCCGTCTCCTCCCATGCAATTACTACCTCTGAAAACATGCTGGAGGGTCAGCTATGGGCTGGTTCCAACTAGATGGCACACAGCAACAATTATTGTAATAAATAACTTGTCTGTAGAAAGACAATGTCATAGTAAAAAAATGCATTTATCAGGGGCTGTGTTCTGATTTTGATTAAATATGTTCTTTGCACTCATTTTATTTTGGGGGGGGAAAAAAAAAGCTCTGGTGGCTTAGTGATATGAAGCCACGCTGCAATTTCAATCCATCAGCTGCTCCATGGGAGAAGGAATAGCAATCACCTCCTATGCTATTTACTACCTTTGAACAGCTGCTGGAGGGTCAGATATGGATCAATTATTATATAAGCCACATAACAACAACTCCAACAATAGGTGGCTTTAATGGCAAGGAGTTGCATTCCTAACCCAAAGGCATGCACTTTCAATCGACCAGCTGCTCTTCAGAAGAAGGATTAATTACCTCTGAAAATCACTGAAGGGTCAGCTATGAGTTACTTCCATCTCAGAACAATATACATAACAAAAGCAGCAACAACAATATTTATAAAGGATCTGTTGGTCTAGTGGGTAAGAAGCTGTACTGCCAACCCAAAAACAGGCGGTTCAAATCTATCAGCTGCTGTTTGTGAGAAATATGGGTGGTCACCTCCCAGCTATTTACAGACTCTGAAAAGCCATTTAAGGGTAAACTCCGAGTCAGTTCCAACTTGATAGCAATGAGAGAGAGAATATTCTTAAGCTATATGCTAGTTTCTCTTCCAAATTTCTCTAGGAAAATATTTAGCCAGACTTCATTTATATATAAGTAGCAAAGCTGGTTTTGTTCCTATGGTACCTGTTTTCTTGAAATAACATTACTAGACATTCAATTGTACAAGACAGACATTTGAGTCATCTTTAAAATTAGTCCATCTACTATTTCCCAAGTGTAAGTTATCACCATGTTCCTTTGATTATAATTTTCAAACCCTCATTGTTTCTTTCTATGCATTATCAAGCCCACTTTTACCACTTTGGTCTAAGATGCTGCTTGCCACTTTCCTGAACTGAATAATAACCTCCTAAATTCTCTATTTGGAAGGAGGAGTGGCATCCGCTTCCATAATAGCTTGCCTCCGGAAACCCTATGAACCTGGAGAGAGGATGAAAAGCACCCAAGCATCGAGGAGTCTTCTTCATAGGGTTGCTATGAGTCGCCTGTGACTCGACGACACTTAACAACAACAACAACAACAACAACAACAACAACAACAAATTCTCTATCTTCAGTGTTTCTGACGGCTGGAGGATGATCTCTAATTCTCTAAAGGTTTTCATTATTCTTAGGGACTTGGGGTTGCTGTGATACTGAATACTGTACCACTGGTATGTCAACTGCCATAATGATTACTCATGGTCGACAGGATTTGGTAGAGCTCCCCAGATTAAGATAGGCTTGGTAGCAGGATTGACACTCACTTCTTAAACAACAGACCTTTGGGAACTCTATGAATATTAGGGAAATGATGATAGTTATAGAACAGGGTTCAGATCTTTTGTTCATAGGGTCTCCATGAGTCATATTTGTCTTGATGACATTTAACAATAACAATTTAGAATATGGATCAAAATCCATAAGCAAACCCACGAAGTACTTCTAAGAAGTAGTACCTGTGGAGCATAGGGTCTTGAATTGGTTCATTTTGGTTCTAAACACTGTTATAATTTGCATTTCCATCCCATATAGATTTGTGAGAATAGTGTGACCAATGTGGTGGCAGTGGTGGCATCTGATTTCCACTAATTCCACAAAGTAGAAGAGTCCCCATCCACAATATCCATAACACAAAAACTCTTTTTGTAAGGTTAGACATGCCTCCCATACTCTTGCACTTACTTCTTCCTATTTTAACATCAGTTCTCCCTCTTACTGGACTACTTTTAGATAAAATAATCTATTGCAGTGATCACACAGAACTCAACAGGCAATGATCATAATTACTGGGCTTATTTGGGAAGGGAAGAGGTTAAGATTGAAATAAGAAACAGGATACAATTTTGCAGTCAGGATAGCTCAAGCAGGCTGGAAACCCCTGGCCTTCAGCCTTGTGGCTTCAGGCCGTTGTTACACAGTTCTTTCAGCTGTGTCAATTATTGTATCTGTACTCCATGCCTCTTCTCCTCCATCCTTCAGTAGCTTCAGAAACTCCTTGTCCAACTTTCAGATGTATAACAAGAAACTGAAAAAATCATAGAATGGATCAAGTGCATCTTAGTCTTTAAACTGACATCACTGATCTTTAGAACTTTTGAGAAGTCCGTACAGATTTTCTCAATGAGATGCGTATTTATATTTCTTGACTGCTGGTACCGGAGGTGTTGATTACGAATCCAAGTTAAGATGAAATTGTTGACAATTCCCATCCTTTCTCTGTCAATGGTGATGTTGCCTATAAGGCTAATGACGAGGAGGTTTTTTGTTTGTTTGTTTTTTATTTTCTTGAAGTTGAGATGTCATCCATCCTGAAACCTTTGAGCTTCTGCAGCAAGTGCTTCAAGCCTTACTCAGTTTCAGTGATCAAGTTTGTCTCATCTGCATAACACAGGTTGTTGATGAGTCTTCTTCCAATCCTGATGCCACATTCTTCTTCATTAAGTCTAGGTATAGATTCCACATGAGCACAATTAAGTGTTCTAGGATCCATATTTTTCTCAATGTTACAACCCACAATTTGTTATGATCCACACAAACTCTGCATAACAGTAAAATATAAGCAGATAATCTTTCTTGTATTCCCTCTTTCAGTCAAGACCCATCTGATATCAGCAATGGTATCCCTGATAACTCTGCCTGAATTTCTGGCAATTTTAAGTTGATTTACTGTTCTAGCTGCTTTTTAATATTCTTAAACAAGATTTTATTCGAATGTGCTATTAAAAACATTTGGTATTTTCCACATTCTATTGGGTTACCTTTTTTTTAAAAAAAAATATAGATCTTCTCCAGTATGTTTACTGGATAGCTGTTTTCCAAATTTTCTTGGCGTAAGCTGGCGAGCACATCCAAGGCTGCATCTATTTGTTCAGACTTGTCAATGATACCCTATCAATTCCAGCGGCCTTATTTTTGCTTATATTCAGTGCTGCTTGAACTTCTTCCTTCATCATTGGTTCCAGAGTCCAGTGGACTCTGTAATTCTCAATTTGTCTTAACTCTCAAAAGCTCTTCACTTTTTCAATTATTACTGACTCTGGCACTTTCATCAGAAGCTCCTATTAAATGTCAAAGTATGAGGGCCCCTCAATCAGGTAGATTGACACAGTGACTGATGCAATGCGCTCTTGTGTTTCCGGAAGTGAGCATTATGCAGGAAAGAACAGAGCTCAGATGTTTTGTTGATAGAGTCACTATTAGTCATATTCAACTTGAAGACACCCAACAACAACAACAAATTAGTTAAAAAGCAGAATTTACAATTGAGCACATATAATGAAGAGAATGGGACATTGTTAATCGCTTGACAACTTTTTTATCCACCATATCTTATTAAATAGGTTTTTTGATGCTTTTGAGCTGTGGTGCTGGAGAAGAGTATTGAGGGTACCATGGACTGCTGGGAAAACAAACAGATTCATCCTGGAAAGGGTCAAACCGGGCTGCTTCTTGGAGGCAAGCATTCTAAGGCTCCGTCTAACATACTTTGGACATGTTGTAAGGAGGAACTGGTCCTTGGAGAGGGACATCATGCTTGGGAGGGTGGAGAGACAGCGCACAAGGGGAAGTCCCACTATGAGGCGGATTGATTCAGTGACTGTGGTAATAGGGATGGGTATATCGGAGAGACGGTGCGATTGGTACAGGACAGAGCAGAGTTTAGGGATGTTGTACATAGGGTCTCGACTCATTGGCACATAACAACAACAACAACATCTTATTAAATTATCAGTCTCCTGAGATAAGATTTGGAATGCTCACCACTATACCACCAGTGTGCTGGTGGTACGGTTTGGCTACATAATTAAAGGAAAAAAAAACTTGAAGAAATGCAATTTCCCTAACTTCCCCATATTCCTGCTAAAACTAAGGCTCGTAGGCACCAAACCTTCATTTGCAGCAGCACCTCAAACTTCCTTATACTTTTTAGCCAATTAATCATCTTTTTGTGTCAAAATGTTTGCTTTTCGCATGCTTCACTTATTTAAAGAACTGACAGTACTAGGCAAAAAGTGTGAGTATTTTAGCTTCTTAACATTTATGGGATTTCAGAATTTTTCTCTACCTTTAAACATTTTCTTAAACTTTAGCTCTATTTTACGAGAGTCGAACAGAAAACACACAAAAAGATAGAAGGTTGATATCCTCTTTATTTTTTGCAGCTCCGCCTAGGTAAACTAGAGAAAAGCACAACTCTCCAAACTAGGCTGGGGTTAGTGAGGGTGCTGGTGGTGGTTAAGGAGTTTGGTCTGGCGTCGTAAAAAAAAAAAAAAAAGCCGCTGCGCTGCTTTACGGCATTGGCTCCGCCCCTCTAGTGCGGGAAGTCCAAAGCCGGCAGACATGGCAGCCACCTGCTGCTTTCACCGTGTTATCGGTTCTCTTGCAGGGCTGTTGCTGTTGGCCTTTGGCAGTTTGGCCTCTAGTCAAGTCGAGGTAGGAGTCAAGTTCCTCAGAGCAGCAGAGTTTTGGGAGGCTGGCTGTGTTGTGACTGTAAGCTTCATGTCAGATAGATGGTCCACAACAGCTGGGAGTATCCTCGGAGCCATTCTGATTGTGCTGCTGGTTTACGTGTGTGCAGTCTCTAGTAGGTGAAGTGCAGGGGCGGATGAGCTATCATTGACGAACTGAATCTGTCCCTTTTGATAGATATTCGATGATGATGGTGCTTTACCTGACTCCGCCTCCTGCATCCCTTTTAAAACGTGATGACAGGACCTTTTAGACCGCTGGAAAGCTTTAACTTTGGCTTATTCTATGAAAATTGTTCTGTCCATTTCTACTATTTAAATATTTAGCATCATATCCGAGTCTCTCGATGCTGTAGATTAAAGAATACGGAGAATCAAGGCACTTGAGAATCTGTATTCAGTTTGATCTTCTGCCTATTCCACCTCTCGTTTAATAATCAAAGCCAAAACAAAACGGTGAGAAGCTAAAGACCCCCTTTCTCCTGCATTTTGCTGTTAAGGTGGAAAGTTGGAAGTTTCTCTGTTTCTCCGTGGGAGTTTCTGCTTTCTCTGCCTTACATTCTAATCTTCCTTGAGTTCTATTTTCTGAAGCCTTAAACTTGCTTTCACCTTTTCAATTTGGCTAATTTAATTCAGGACCTGATAATTTCTTACCTGAGGTACTAAAATAACTTTATCCTGATTTTTACATTCTCTCAACCCCCCTTATTTTGTCACTAGATTGATCCTCATAAAATGGAAACATGATAAAGGCATTCTTCCTTTAAGTTATTTCAGTGCAGCAGGATTAGTGCCCGCCTTCCAGTCTTCCATATTGATAGTCACCTGGGGCCCTGCCCTCTTCAGGACCTAAAAGTACTTTTCATGCTTAGACTCTCACCTAAACAGTTAAAAAATAGTGACCATTTCACTATGGTTTCCCCCCTCTCTCTCTTGCTGTGTATATGAATACTTGTAAATTACCACTAATTTATATACTTATTATTTATAAAGCATACTTTATAGCAAAATAATTATGAAAAGGAATTCTATTGGTTTATTGCATAGGGTGGCCATGAATCAGCCTGTATATTTTATTTTGGATACTCTTATTATGGTTTATAGTTAAAAAGTGACCCATGGGCACAGGAAGTTACACAATTGACATGTACTTTTACATGACCATGCTGTATACCTGTTTCCCCTGTTCACTTACTAATAATACATGGTGAAAGCATAGGCTCTGTAGAACCTTTATTGTCTAGGTTTGCATTTGTACACTTGCCTAGTGTGCTGTTTTTAGGTGCCACTGAGTTCATTTTGACTTATAGGGACTCACTATGAGTCATCTTCAACTCGACAGCACCTAACAACAACAACAACATTGAGTGAAACCTTACCCCAGCCATCATATACTGCAAATCTCATAAATGTTAGCTTTTATTGGTTTGATATGTGTGTATCTAATTGGTTAATTCTCTCTTTGAAGGCAGATACTATAATGGTTTGCCCATCATATTCTGAGTACTAAGTGCAATAACTTGAGCATGGAATTCAAGAAACACAATTAATTAATGAATGTTACATTGAAGTGTAATATGTTTACATACTTGTTTTCTTAACAAACTCTAGAAATGCTCTATTTTTTATAAATATTACTGTTGTTATGTGCTGTGTCGAATTGAGCCCAACGCATAACTGACCCTGTAATGGGTTTTCAGAAGTTGTAAATCACAAATTGTCCGTCTTTCTCCCACAGAGCAGCTGGTGAGTCTTTATATGGATGAAAGGGGGTGAAAATTGCTAAGAACTCAATTGCTAGCCAAAAAGTTAATGATTTCATTCCACTCAGAAGTTCATTCTCTTAGAAGAAGGATGTGACAATTATAAAATCAGCCGTGCAAAACCCTTTGGAACATGGTTGTGCTCTGACACGCATAAGAATGGTAGTGAGTCTGAATCAATCCAGTTACAACTGGTGTGAGTTTTTTTTTTTAACATGTTGCCACACACTTTTAGATTGACGACTGTGCTTAGAAATAGTTTTTTTGTTTTTTTTTAAATGTATGACCGTCATTTGCAGCAGCGTGTTAAATACATACACAACCACTTCTACCTAAACTTTTAGTGATGTAAGAATTTTGAGGGTAAGGGACATAGAGATTAATTTAGATAATTTTCATTTTCTTTATGCAGAAACTCAAGTTTAAAGCATCATATGACTAACCTAATATAACTAGCTGGGGATTGAGTCTTGCTGAAATTCCTACTTTGATGCTCTATCATCTCACAGTGCTTTCTTCAGTATCTCAGTGGCTCCTGAGAGAGTTTGATCATATTTATGTGTGTGTCTGTGTAACCCTGGTGGCATGTTGATTAAGAGCTTGGCTGCTAATTAAAAATAGGTATTTTCAAACCACTAGCTGCTTTGTAGTTTCCCAGGCAATAATAAAAGCAGACTGCCTCATCTTTCTTCCAAAGAGAGGCTGGCAAGTTTGAACTGCCAGTCTTTTGGTTAGCACCTGGGTGCTTGAAAGAATTTGACAGCAAAGCATTTGATTTTGGGTTTTATTCTTATTATTCTAGTAACCAGTACTATTTGGGAGCAAACCTGCAGTGAGTATGCCTTCCATCCACCATTATTTTAATACATAATTACGTTCATTCAGTAGATGCTTTGGTTTTTCCTATCTTTACGATGGCAAATATAATTCAGAATTAGTTCTACAGAGGAGTGAAATGGTACATGGAAGAATATTAGAGGATGTGCTCGATCAAGTGTAAGGGAGCGTTCAAGTGAAGTAATTCAGAACACTCAGCACATTAATAAGGATAAACTTGAAATAAAATACCAACAGAAAGTGTGTGAGTAGGTATGTAAAATCAAGACCTGAAATGAGTCATTCATAGTTAGAAGAATAGAAAAGGATGAGGAAGACAAAACCTCACCTAACTCAGTTTGCAAGAAAATGTTTAAAAGCAGCCAAACACCCATAATTCTCAACAAGCATAAAACTGCAATATTTATAGTGTTTTAGCATGTCTGTCTGAACTTTAAGACTCACTGTGAGAAATATTAAAGAATAAGAATAAGTTCAGACATTACCTCTGCAGGATCAATCTCATTCAAAAATTTCAGTGCCACTGAGTCAGAAGTGGCTCACAGCTTATCCTTCAGTGAGTAGGTTTTCCAAGACTGTAAATTGCATAGCAGGTGATTACTTATTTTTGTCCTGCGGAACCACTTGTGAGTTCAAATTGTCAGAGAGGTGCTTTGTGTTAGCATTGCAGCTCCCTAAGAAGTTAAAGTGAAAACCAAAAAATAGTCTTTGAGAAATTCCTGGCATACAGATTTTTTTTCTAGAATCTCACTACAAAGTGAGTACTTCAACAGAAGGATTATTACAGTACTTAGCTCATTGCCATTGATTTGGAACCAATTCATAGCTGTCTCTTTGGTAAGTTTTTAGAGCCTGTAATTCCCAGGGGAGGAAACTGCCCATTTTTCCCTCGTAGAACATTTGGTTGAATTAAACAGCTTACTTTTGGGTTGACAGTGCAACTCCTTACCTACAACCTTAATAGAACCTTAGAGTTTATAGCTTTATGGTACAATCTTTGTATGATGTCTTTTTGTCTTACTCTGAACCTCTCATCCTCATATGGTATATTTTCCAGGAAAGAGTCTTGGTCTACTGCCAAAAAATATATTTATGACATGTTCTCTGAATATTTTTAAATAAACATTTT